ATGTAATTTACTTTTACTAGTTTTATTCTACTTTTCTAACTTACCTATAATATGGTTTTAAATAAATAGTTGAAAAAAATTTTTTTAAATAGCAAAAACCTATAAAGTGTTACAATGTAAAATGGCTTCTGCTGTCTCTAACAGCAGCTTGTTTTGTTTAGCTCAGAACTAACAGGCACCAAAGGCACCAGGCACTAACCGCTGAATGAGGCATTTGGTCTGACCCTGAGATAACAGGGTGCATCAAGACCTTGAGGTCTGAAGAGACTGGAGCCACATGATCGTAGAAGTGTCAAGATAGAAGAACCATTGCTAACATTTGCTCCCCTGACCCTAAAATCCCCTTCCTATGGGCTAGGATAGATAACTAGGTGAATCTTAAAGGTAAACTCCCCTAAATAACTGTCTTGTGAGCACGATTTGTATAACAGCAATATGAACTATGAGAATGGAATGTAACCACCCAAATGAAGTCAAGGCTGTAAAACCCTGTAAAAGGAGGAGTTGTAACCATAGTCAAACAGGCATTCCTTATGTGCGATCGACCATTATCAAGGAGTAAATTTGTTATTTTACTTCCATTCTGCTGTCTGTGTGTTACTTGCAAGTTCCTTCCATAACATAGTGAAAAGTTTTTATTGTACCTACAAGTGACAAATTATTAGAGATTAATTTCAGACAAAACAGACTTAAAGAAATGTATTAATTATAAAAGTTGGATTCACCAGGATATAAAATTCTAAACTATGTATGTACCCATTTACAAAGAATATAAATGAATTACAAACAAGAAACTGGAGAAATTTAGAAATCAGTAATTAAGACAAGTTTTTAAAATCTGCTTTAGTGACAGGAGTAAAAAAATTATCATTTGGGTTGAAAAGTACAAATGATAAAAACTCATGTAAAATGAAAGAGATAATACAAATTTATACTCTTTAAATTTATAAACTCTCCAATATAGAAATCTCTAGGTCTGTATGAATTCACTTGAAAATATCAGGAATATTTATTGCTGTCATGATGCAGAAGGGAAGTAAATACTCCTAACACATTATAGGGTTAGCATTATCTGATACCAAAATTACTTAAAGATAGTAAAAGGTGAAAGAAAGAAAGAAAAGAAAGAAAGAAAGAAAGAAAGAAAGAAAGAAAGAAAGAAAGAAAGAAAGAAAGAAAGAAAGAAAGAAAGGAAGGGAGGGAGGGAGGGAGTAAGGGAGGAAGAAAGGAATGGAGGGAGATATGAAATCAATATCTATCAATATCATAGAAACAAAAATCCTCAACAAAATATTAACTAATCAAATTCAGTAAAATTAAAAAATTCTAGGTCATGAACAAAGCAGATTTATTCTAGCTATTCAAGACTGTTAAGAGGTTCCTCACACAGCTGCCAAAATAGCTCCTGAGGAACCTTAACTGACCTTAACAAATGTATATTAGTAGAGTAACTTTTATTAACATGGGGCTTACTTTTCATTTGGTCTTAAACACACAGTGGAAAAGTACAACCAAAAAAAAAAATAAAACGGAAATAGTAATATACATTTTAAAATACCAAAAGAGCTATGCTAAATATAAAAAATGGCACTGAACACTGCACCAGCTAGTATTGTACCAGTTCTCCAACTACTTCTATTCCCTGTCCCACCAGCTCTTCCAAAAATGTGTCTTTAGTCTAACTGTATTTTCATTATGTTATTTTTATGTACCATAAAGTATACCTCAGGTAAAAAAACATGTATTGCTTATATAAGCATGCTTAGAAGACAAAAATATTAATATATTCTAGCTATTGAACATTATTACTCTTGGGGTATAAGCTAACCTTCTACTATTCTACTCCAGACTTTATACTACAAAAATCTTTGGATCCACGTAGTGGAGGACAAATCCCAAGTTTTAAATGTTGTAATAAGATTTAATGGCCAAATGTCTAGGTTAATGCATAGATATCTTTATTTAGTTTATTTCTTGACATTATTATAATGAAATAATAAACTAGACTTCTCATTAACAAAATAAGGAAGACTGTATACTCTTCAACTCCATTTTACTTGGTTAAACATCTCAAGATAATGTGAGGTTAATATTAAAGATAATTTACCATTTATTTTAAAGTTTTGGCCCTTGTTTTTTAACATGTTTGTCACATATTCAAATTCCAGACTTCTAGTCAAGCCAAAGCTTGCCTGTGTTATTTTAAAAACTATTTTTACATATACTCCTGACCATCCTGCAAATGTCTTCTGCATTACAATACCCACATTCACAAGGTAATGAAATGTCATATTCTGCTTTATGCCTCAATGACTATCTTCCTGTCTTCTTTAGATAAGTCAGGATGGGACTCCTGTTCCTTGGCCAGGCAGTATCAACACCCCTCTTAGCCTGAAACAGGCCTAAAAAAGATGAACTTTCAGTGCAGGTGCAACCCTTAAGAATAAGGAATCAAGGCCTCAAGGAAGGAGAATGAGGGAAGATAGGAGAAATGAGATAGGCCAATTGGAGATGAGGAAAATTATAATTCTTAAATTATAGTATTAATAAAAACTGCAGGTTTAAGACACAAACTGAGTCAAAAATTCCTAATGTCTTTAAAGACACAATAAGCTGGGCCATTCCGTCCTCTCTGTAAATGGATGGTGACCATTCTCTTGCCTGCAAATTTTTTTCACCTGTGAATAGTCCGTCCCTTTTCACATGTGAAAAAAACTGTCTCTTCTGGATAGGGTGCAGTTCTATCACCTGTGGTAGCTAAACCGTCATCACTGAGGATGGAAGGAGGGGTTGTACAAAGGGGAGGGGAATGATAAAAATAGAAGAATCAAGATATATCAGGCACACGTACAAATTTCCTATGATGAGTTATCATTATATATATCTAAAATATACCAAAAATCAATTTTAAAAGTACATCTTATTTACTATAATAAAATTTGTAAAATTAAAATAATTCATCAATAGAAACACTTCTAAAAAATAAATGTGGGCGTTACACACACCCCATGATACTTCTTTAACCCAAAATTGATATGATGTTCCAAGGGTAAGAATGCACATAGTTTTTATTCCAAGCTCATCATTGGTTCAACTGGGCTTGGTCTTTTTATTACCTTCACTGATTTGGGGGCTTCAATGATATGATCCTGAAACCTGGATTTTATTTCAGATAGTTATTTCTTTTCCATAATCTTGACTCCTGGCTTGACTGGCTCTGGCTCAGGTGCTTTTTACTACTGTGTGGCTTTGCTTTTTTTTTTTTTTTTCTTTTGGCACTGGGGATCAAACTTGGGTCCTTGTGCTTGTGAGGCAGGCAGCAGGATCACTGAGCTAAATCTCTGGTGCCCTATATAGCTTTTGTACAGCCTGAAATACTTAGGTCAGAAAAATCTTTTCCTCTTCTCTTACAGCAAGCCCAATTCTTTATGCATCATGAAAGACTTGAACACCTGGAAGGCAAGGATTATTGTAACTGATTTAGGGATTGAAGTGCTGACCACAGTTCTGATTGTAGGAGAGCAAGGTCATTTTCATTTCCCATCATTAGAAGCAAAGCTTGGACACCGGGAGCTGCAACTGTCCTGCAATTGTCCTGTCAGAAGCATAGGTCTGAGAACCGGGGTGTTGCCAACTCTCAGTGGGTGGGATTTTGGAAGGTGATAAGATCATGGGTGTGCTATACTCATTTCCGAATGCATCCACTGAAAAATTCAGAGTTGAATGTGCTCCGATGTGGTGGTGACTACTTGGAAGAGATGGCTCACTAGGGGGATAATAAAATTTGTGGAATGCACTTAAATATGTACATAGGTGGGCCGAGGATTTAGCTCAGTGGTTCCGCCACCTGCTTTACAAGCGCAAGGTCCCGAGTTTGATTCCTGGTACCAAAAAAAAAAAAAAAATGTACATAGAGCAAAATTGTATCTTTAAATAGGTTAGAAAGAAGAATGTAAAATCAGTGCTTACATTTTCACCTTAAAAAGGAAGGAAAAGAGCAAATTAACAGAAACTGAAACCATTAAATTGGGAAACAGATACAATACCAAAAAAAATCAAGATATGGTCTCAGACATTAGTAAATTAAGTAAACTCTCTGATTAAAGAATAGTTATAAGTAATAAATGAGATTCTTAGATTGATTAAAGAACAATTATGAGTAGTATGAAGAAGGTGGATGAGGCGTAACTACAGGTTGCACAGACATTAAAGGGAATATCATGAACAAAATGCAAAAAGAAAAACTTGATGCTTAAAACGGATAAACTCCTCTGAAAAAAGTGTTCCCTCAAAATGGAAAATTTGAATAGTCCTCTGTTAAAGAGATCAAACATGTAATTAAAAATCCTCCCACATTCATACACACACACAAAAAAAACCTTCAGGTCCAGAGTGCTGCATCAATGAATTCTACCAAACATTTTACGGAACTAAACATTCATATACACATTCCTACAGAAAATGGAAAATTAGAACTTCTAATTCTTTTCATCTGTCATCATATAAACATCAACAAAAGATGAATCTTTGACCCTGAGACACAACTCTATGTTTTCTGGGTCCTTTCAAATCTGCTTCTCTGTTTTCTGGGCTTGGCTCTAGAGGTCACCTGGCCAAAGAGCAAGGGAAAGTAGGGAGAACAGAGGGAAAATAGCCTCTGAGGCAAACGTAAGCCCTTCAAAAGCCGAGGCTATAATAGAGTAATGGATGAGTATGCCCGCAGGCAGCCAAGACCAGCGGGAAGGATCAGGAGCAGGAACATGGTCCACTATCCAAACACCACCTCGAGTAAGGCAGCAGATGTCTCTGTGGCCCCAAGCATGACACCAGAACAGGGTGGCAACTCACAACACAGCTGCACAAACAATAAGGGAAGTGCTCAGAAAGCCAAGTGAGAAAGGAGGTGCTGATGTGGAACTACGTTCTTCGGTCCTCAGCCTTTCAGTGGTAGAATATTTTAGCCACTTTCTCATGATTGAGCAACAATACCAGATACTTACACCTGAAAGGAGGACAGGTCGATCCCAGCTCACGGCTTTCGGAGGCTTCAGTCCCTGACTGGCAGGTTCCACAGCAGAAAGGCCCGGAGCAGAAGAAAGCTGTTCACGTCATGGGGCCCAGCAGCAGAGGACAGAAGTGGGAGCTGGAAGCGGGTACGTCCTTCCGGGTCACGCCCCAGTGAATGCTCACTTCCAGCCGCAGCCCACTTCCCAAGGGCACATTCAGCTACTAAATTAACTAGAATGTACTGGTGAGTACGTGCTCCCACGAACCAGCTGCCTTCCAAAAGCCCAAAATCTGAATACATGAATCTTCTAGGGGGGCGTTCGAGATCCAAGCCATAACCCAGAAGGCGGGACTGAATTCTGAGGTGGAGGAAGGAAAAAGAAAAACAGACATAATGGCATTTAAATGAGGCCACATCGTTTATTGATGTTTTTCTACTGTAACTAAGCCTGGAAAGGTAGAATCTTCATTTCTAAGTGAGATTTCAATAGTATCCATTGCCTTCTGAAGGAATTCCTAGTTCCTGTGAAAGAAAACAAAACACACGTACCTAAGAAACCAATAGAAAAATTGCATTCCATTGAAAAGCATACAGAGTACTTTCAAGTGAGAAATTCATGTGGCAGAAGAAAGAATTCTTCAAAGACTATAAATCTGGGGTTTGTGTGTGTGTGTGTGTGTGTGTGTGTGTGTGTGTGTGTGTGCGCATACTAGTAGTAAAGTATGAAATTTGTGCTGGTGTACTGGTACGTATGCACAACATTTTTAAAATTTTGTACCAGAGATTAAACTCAGGACCTTGAGCTTGGGAGGCAGGCAGCAGAACCACTGAGCTAAATCCCCCAGCCCTGTGCATAATGTTTTGATTATTACACCCCCTCATTTTTCTCTCTATTGTCCCCACAATGTCCTCCCCTCACCTAAAAGACTGCCTTCTAGTTTCCTGTTCTCTTTGGTATTTATACTTAGAGTATTTGTATGTGTATATTTTTATATTTCTTATATAAGAGAAACCATATTTTTTTTAACTTTCTGGGACTGACATATTTTGCTTAACTTGATAGTCCCTAGTTCTTTCCATTTTTGCTGCAAATGACATGACTGCAAGATGATTCATGTCTGAATAATACGCTATGATACCTTTACATATCATGGGTGATGTATATATATATCTATATGTCATGGGTGGCTAGTCTGTTTGCCCAGCCTAGCTACTGCAAATGCTACTTCTATAAATATGAATACGCTTGCGTCTCTATGGTATGATGTCTTTAATTCTTTCAGGAATATACCACGAGTAGTATTACTGAATCAAATGGCATTTCTATTTTTAGCTTTGTGAGGAAATATACTGATTTTCATAGTGGTTGTACTAGTTTACATTTTCACCAAAGTGCAAGAATGTTCCTGTGGCCCTACATTTTCACCAGCATTTGATTTTTGTTTCCTGTATAGTAGCCATTTTGAATGAAATAAAATGCAGCCCAAATCAACGTAGCTTTGATTTGCATTTTCCTGTCTAAGGAAGTGGAACATTTTTTCACATGCTCACTGGCCATTTGCATTTCCTTATTTTTGAGAACACTTTTCAATTCACTTGGTAATTTATTAGTTGGAATATTTGTTTTTGGTATTAAGTTTTTGCATTCTTTGTATATTCTGGGTATAAATTCTCTGTTGGAAGAGTAGCCAGCAAAGATTTTCTCCCATGTTTCCTCTATGTTCTCCTTCCAGCAACTGTAAAGTTTCCAGTCTTACATCAATCTATTTGGTCCATTTTAATCTAATTTTAGCACAGGGGGTAAATATAATGACCCACTTTCAGCCTTCTACATGTAGATATTTATTTACATGTAGATGCCCCTGCACCATTTGTTGAAAAGGCTATCATGATTTGGGGACTTTTGTAAAAAATAAGATGTCTATAGGAAAGTTCCATTTCTTCTATTCCCTTACATACATGTCTGCTTTTGTCCTCCTATAACCATTTTTTCGAGTTTTTTTAAATCAGGAAAGGTTTATTGAAATTGTCAAAGGTTTTTCTACTTCTATTGAGATGATGCAATATTTATCCTTGTTTTATTCATGTGGTATCTGACATTTATTCATTTTGATATTTTGAACCATCCTTGAATCATGGGAATAAAATCTATGTGGTCATGGTGTATCATTTCTTAATGTGTTGATGAACTCTGTTTGCCAGATTCTTATCAAGGATTTCTTCATGTATGTTCATTAAGGATACTGGTCTATAGGTTTTCTTTTTCTGTTAAGTTCTTCATTTGGTTTCGATTACACTAATGCTGGTTATATCAATGAATTGGAAGCATTTCTTCCCCATTTTCTAGAGAGGTTTCTGTTGTTAATTCTTCTTTAAAGGTCTAGTGAAATTCAGCAGTAAATTCATCAACGCCTGGACTTCTCCTTGGTGAGAGTTTTTGTTTCTAGAGGCAACCCACTTTCCAGTTCCCTGTCTGTCTTAGACAAAGTTTTCTTTCTCGCAAATTTTCCTTCTCAATCTTTGTTGTTCCTAGAATTTATTCTTCGATTTCAGAGAACATGAACTCATGTTTCAGATATGTAGCAGGTTTGGGAGTTACATCTCTCCCCCCTATATCATTTTGGAGGTTTTCTGCCAGAGGTAAGAGTTTTCTTTCATAGGTTCTAACTTTGGACTTTTTGCTTCATAGATTGTAACTTTTGTCTCATAGACTTTGGGTATTTGTTTCATAGATTTTTTCTGGTTTTTGTTTGATAAATTTTAGCCTTTGTTTCAGCTTCTGTTTCAAACGTGCCTTGATTTTAAGTTGTATGTCTTAAATGTTTGCAAATGTCTTATTTTTCTTATGTATTGTTTTTGTTAAAATTACATTTTATTCTTGTTTTGTATAAGTTGCATTTGGACTTAGTTGTTTAAAAATGTTGTAAAATGGGTCTCCTATGAAATCACCTCAGATAAAGACAGTTCAGGCTTTTTTTCTGTCCCTTATAGGATGTCAGACAGTGGTCACTCTGACACATAGTAACTGCCTTTAGGACAGCTGCCACTCTCGAAGCAGAGGACAGGTTTCTGCAGTTGCCCTCTGGTGAGTCCCCACTCCCAATGAAGCCAATGGTGGGTGAAACATTGACCAGAGAGGCAGTTGGGTTCCTTGGAGAGACAGATCTCTGATTGTGTAGAACTAGTGGAAATTGAGGTGACAACTGAGGAGTCCTGGCCAGGGATACTCTCTGGCATTTACCCCAAGGTCCCTCTGAAGAAACCGGCTCCCAAGAGACCATCCGGGTGATCAGCAGAAAATCTCTGCATCTCGTCCTATCTGGACTCCTCAGTGAGGTGAAGGGGGAACTCTGTCAGTGATCATCCGGTATCCTCTGTCTCAGAGTGATCTGAAATGATGCTGTCAGAGCCCTTTCTTAAGCCTCCATTAATAGGTGAGCTAAAGGTTTGGGTTGCTTTCTCTACTACTAGTAAGATGGACCTCTAGACAAATGTTTTAAAAAATGAATCTTTGATAAATTAAAAGCTACCTGAACACCCGCTCCCCAGAATGGTTTTCATCATTTATGTGTGTAGGGGAGAAAAATGCCTTTGCTGAAAGATTATGGACTTTGAAATGTTGATTGTGGATTTATAAAATGCTGCATGATGAGTTTTGAATATTTAAATGGCTTGAAATTTTGACATTTTCTCTGCTAGTAAGTTTAAACTCCCCTAAATTCATCTCCAACTTGTTGGGAGTTAACCTTAGAATTAACAACCTTATGGTGAGACCTTCTCCTTTTGAGGGGTCAAATTGAGACAGCTTATAGCAAATTTTGTCTTACATTAAGAAAATAACAATCAGCAACCTGCATTTCTGTTTTATATAATAACTAAAATAAAAATAATTTAGGCAGCCTTTCTCTTCATTCATGCATGCGTAGAAAGTTGATAAGGGTACCTTTGCTAACATTTGGATGATAACTGCTAGGAAATAAACATACATTTTAACCATGAGTGTCAAATATTTAGTAAATTTAAGATGGACCCGAAGGGGGCCACTGATGTGTCAAAGTCTGGGCATCTGAGGACACAACGTCTGCCATAACACTGGCACTTGACAGACTTTGCCTGATCAGACCCTGCCTCCTCAGCCTGGCATCCCCAACAGGAACTTTAAAAAGTAACGTCTTGCTGCTAATAAAGATTTGCCCAAGTAAAATTCTCAGATTCCTCTGCCCAGGGCTTAGGGCAGAATCACGGATCTACCCATCTCTAGGAGAGATTTGTTTCACAGAGAAAAAGTGCCCTAATTTTACAGTCGACCTATTTTTCTCAATCTATTTTCCTCAATCCCTCTCCTCAATCCCAATCCCTCTCTCTCTCTCCCTCTCTCTTCCTTCCTCCCTCCCTCCCTCCCTTCCCCACCCCTCTCTCAGAATTAGAAAGCAATGGTTTAAATCTGTAGGTTTGCTAGCAGTATTTCCTTCTCTAAACATGATTGCTATGGCTGAGGACAACTGCAGCTGTGCTTTGAGAATACCTACTGGAGTAAGAATATGAGTTACCTGAAGAGGACAGGATTGCACAATGGCAAAGGTAGATAGTCCAGTCCAGTTTTATTTTATGGGTCTCTCTCCAGATGGTAGCTACCTACCCTGGAGTGGAATAAACCTTGGGGGCACCATAGGGGGTACAGGAATCAAGCAGAGACTTATGGGATGCCATATTTATTTATCTTGTTTTAGATTGGAAATTGCATATCTGAACCTCATACTCCATTGGAATGTATTTTTTGTCACACTTAGACATTTATTACAGCATAAAAGCCCATTGTTGCCAGTTTAGGACTCATCTTAAAAGAGTCTTTGCTTTCACAGGTGTAGAAGATTTTATTCCTTTTGATTCTTATGACAAGATATCTCTGTTAATTGATCTACAACATTCTGACTAGCCTTTTCTATAGTTATAAACTTAAAAATAATAAAAGTTATTATAATTTCACTTGGCCAAATACACCTGAGTGCACTCTGTTTTATAAACAAGTTGTCTCACTGGGCATGGTGAGACACACCTGTAATCCCTGCGCTCAGGAGGCTGAGGCAGGAGGATCACTGTGAGTCCAAGACCAGCCTGGGTTACATAGTGAATTCCAGGTCAGTGTCAATTACCTAGTGAGATACTGTCTCAAAAACAAAAACAAACAAACAAACAAAAAGTTGTGTGTGTGTGCCTCTTCAATTTGTTACAATATGTACAGCTGTTTTGAGCTTTTTTCTTTCGGCATTGGATCTTTTAAGATGTTTGCCTGTAACTCAAGTTGGCTGATAAATGTAATTAAAGACACGCTTCCCCCATGTTTCTAGCTGATCCAAATAATGTCAACTAGTTTTTAAAATACAGCATATAGCATTGTCTATATATAATAACTTGGGAACCCTTCATTGGTCAAAAATAATGTGTTAATTGTTATGATCTGGCTCTTATGGGTCATCTAAAATTTGTTAAAATAATTAAATAGAGACTCTTAGGCTTAGGAAAACTACTGGACAGGATTCTCCTTGGTAAATAAAGGAGCAGCTGACTGGAAAATTTTTTTCCATACTAAACAGCTACTGATGTGGTACTCAAAATCCTGGCAAAATGCAAATCATTGTTGCTGCTGCTGATTTGCTCTCTATATTACTAGATTCAAACATTACTAAAAGTTAACTTCAGAACACAAATTCAATTTACTCTGTACTAAGGGATTCCTCTTCCTTGGTGAACATTGTTTTCAGTCTGTTCCACGCTATGACTACTAGGGTCACTATGATAAGAATGGATAAACCGATGTAGAAACTTAGAAGCCAGTTAGCGTCTGCCTTCTCTGAAGCACCGATTAAATCTACAAATAAAACATGAATTAAACATTAAACAGTCCAATTTCATTTTCCATTTGCAAGAATTCATAAAGATATTTTTAATTTTTGTTACTCAAGAATCAAGGAAATATAACTATATCACCACAGGATTTTGTCTAAACTCTTTTTAAAACAAGGTCCAGAAGTTTCTAGCGTATTCTACATGATACATCAATTACAGTGAAATCACAGAGTGATTCAGGAGTTTGTAACTGAGAACAATGTATAATTTCTTATTGAGAGACTATATTGCGAGGTGCTTGTACAATGCTGTTTGCTCAATGTGGCTTAAATTTCTGTCATTCAGACATCCACAGAAAATAGCTATTGAATTATTAATATATGACATGCGCCGATCTGGGCACTGAAGCTGGATGGGAAGCAAAACAAATCCCTGTCATGGATCTTAGAGACAAAACAGTGTCTCGAAGTGCTAAGAAATGGCAGGACTGAGTCTCCTAATTTTAGGCTCTTGCCCTTTTAGCAGTGGTACAGTAATCCCATGCTAAAAGATGTATGATCTTAGGGTCAAAAGCTGAGATTCTACCTAATAACAATGAGATATACACAAGTACAGTGAAGTCCCTTGATAATCTAAACTTTTGAAAAACTTGTAATAATGTAAAATTATATAACCTTATGATTATAGTATCCCACATTGTATATTAGTGAACTTTTGCCACTCAGTTACAGCCTCACAATGGGATTTCATGGTAGCTGATAGTTTAAAGTTTTTCAACTTTAATTGTGATATTTTAATATAAGAAAAAAGTGCAAGATTAAGAAGGATTATTTAGATCACATTATAATTTATCTATTTCAAGTGTAAAAATGTAACTACTTTAGTACAGATAGTCAAGTTTGGGATTTTATTAAGTAGCAATCTAAAGAGACAAGTACTTACATCTGTTGATATCCCACAGGGCAGACCTGAAGAAGGGCACGCCTTGGCAGTAGGGAGGGCGGTAACCGCGCTGACAGTAACACGTACCTTGGCTATTACACAGCTACAAAAATTGGAAAACTTACATGACCTTTAACAATATTTCTATTTGAGTTTCCACTATTTCTTATGGGGAAATTTGTTTTGATATACAAATGCTTTGGAGTAAAGCACATTTCCAGAGTTATGCTCACGAACCCAAAATTTTGCTACTTGGTTTTTAAACGATAACAGAAAAAACAAAAAAGAAAAATACATATAAACAACAAAAAGGAGGAATTTAAGGGCAGTAAAAATGTGTTGTTTAATATAATAGTGAATTCATGTCGCTATACTTGTATTGAAACAGACTGTGTAACACCAAGAATGAACTCCTACGTGAACTATGCACTTTGGGTGAAAATGGTGTGTTGATGCGCATGATCAATCATAAAAAATGAAACACTGGGTGTATAAAGTGGAAACTAGGGGAGGCTGTATATAAATGGAATGTGCGGAGATCTACGCAAAATCTGTACTTTGCACTTAATTTTGCTGTGAACCTAAATCTTTAAAAATAAAGTACATTTTGGGCTGGGGATTTAGCTCAGTGGTTCCACCGCCTGCCTTGTAAGCACAAGGACCCGAGTTCAATCCCTGGTACCAAAAAAAAAAAAGATACCTTTTTAAGAAGAGACATAAAATCAAAGTTTTTGTGATTCGATGCATTCAAAGACACAGGAGCTATCTTCCTGTGTGAATAGGTTTATGTATTTATTGAAATATTAAAGCCTGAAAAGTACCAAGCTATAACTATAATTTTTATATTATCAGCACTTCAATGAAACACAGTGTCCTCTAACACTGATCTAGTGGCTGAGTTATTCAATTCAACTCCTTGTTGGATGTATCAATGGTCCCATGGACATGGATCATTAAATGAGTGACATTAAAAAGTATCCAAGAGAGATGTCACTCAAGGAAGCATGCTTACTTACCCCATGTCCAGAGCACCTTCCTTTACAAGATTCTGCTGAGGACTTAAGATCTCCTATTTCTACACAGGAATAATTTATACAGATCTAAGAAAAATCAAAGAAGTTTCCAATTCAGAGGGATCTAGTGCAGTCATTCTAACATTAAAATTCATAATTGTACAACACAGTCATAACTGTTCAATGCTATACATTTACCTCCAAGCATTGTATGTAGCATTCCTCAAATTTGGAAGTTGGATTTCCATGTGGGTTTAGTTTAATGTATTTTAAGTTTCTTTTGAGAATTCTTGGACCTATATAATATTTAGCAGTGTTAATTAAACACCACACCCGAGATTTTCTAGATCACTCTAACACAGACGACAGACTTAGGTGATAGTGATGAGTCAGTGTAAGTTCATCAGCGGCTAACAAATGCGCAGGTCTGAGGTGTGCTGTGAAGTAGTGGGCAAAAGAATATAGGGACTCTTCCTACCTCCACTAAATATTTACATGAGCCCAAACCTGCACTGATATATAAAGCTACTGCTTGAAGTAAATAATTTTAACAATTGTTTGTGATAAGTGGGGAATTTTAATAGAGCAAGATTGACCATAACAAAAAAAATCAGAACCAAAGAACCAATTTTTATTAAGATGCCACAGAAATCTAACAAAATGATGCCTGAGCATATAATTAAATGAATATCCTGCAACCATGTACTAATAAAAAATAAAAACTGAAAAAAGAAATTATCTGCTTGTTGACATTTAGTGTAGTATCAAATACACAAGTTTATTTCAAAAATAAATATTTTGATTTGAAAATTTTCCAGCTGAAAAGCACAAATGAATGTCATGTTCTTATTGCACATATCAAAATCTTTCATAGAAAAAAATCATATTCATATAAGTATATATCCAAGTTATAAAATATGAGCTATTACAGTCCCTTAAGAATTTAATAAAAATGTAACAGCTATTTTTATTAAAATATAATAGATGTCTATACTATTTTGCTAGAAAATGTAATAAAATATGGAAATAATTATTTTAGTTTTAAATTATAACAATTAGAAGATTAAATATATTATTTCCAACTCCATTAATTATAGAAACTTCCATAAGTTGCAATTTTCTCACTTTAAAACAATGCTTTTAAAAAAAGATATGTCAGAAAAAGCATAAATGGCATTTTAAATTTGTTTCTGTTAAAAATGGAATAAAGAATATGAAAATGATTTCCCTTAAACATTAAAACAGAGTACAACTCTCTCTGAAGAAATGGCCTCACAAAATATCTTCTAAAGTCAAGTAGTCTCTTTTAAGCTTTCAACATGTGGAGTCTTCCCACTAGCTTTTGGCCATCATGCTGGATCTAACAACTCCTTTGGAATGTATGCATCTACTGTTGGCCTGGTTCAGATGAAACTGAGATAACAGTTACTCCACACAAGGACATGATCTTACAGAATCAAAACTGCCAAGAACTATTCTTCATGTATGATTTGTGGTATCACTAAAAACTACCTGGTAACATTTCTTTTCATTTATTATCTCTGAGGAGGTCTTCCCATGTCATAAAATTAAATCTGCTCTTCTAATTTATCAACTGAATAATCTCACATATTTGTTCAATTATTACATTTTTAGATGTTTTGGCTGAATGACTCATATACATCTACTGAGCTCCCTGGCCTCGACCTCCTTTGAGGTATTTATGATCCCAAAGCATGAAAAGATCATATACTTTAACTACTGTAAACTTTATTTGAACTGTAGAAACCACACATGTGACTATTAATATACATATTTCTCATGTTAGGATACTAAGGTTTGACCACAGATCTTCTTCAATTAACAACCTAGTTGTTTAATGGTTTTCAGTCTTATGAACCATTTTTTACAGTTCTCTACAACTTGTTTATAGAGCCTCAATGTGTTTTTTTTGTTTGTTTAGTACACCTTGTTTATACAGTACTGCAATTTTTGCTGGTTGTGCCATACAGAGCAATACTATAAATTTTATGTTCTGTTATATATTACAGTACTGCATGCAAGAGTTTTGGAAATAAAGCCAAAGTCATCAAGTTGGCGTTTCCTTTGCCCATTTCTTTGTTCTGAATATTGTAATGTGCGTATTATACACAATTCCTAATTTAGCAAGCAATTCAGTCAATGATTTAGTCGCAGGAACAGAACTCGGTCTTTAAACGAGCAATGCCTGAACGCTAAGTAATTTGTCGAGATTATCTATCAGATGAGGAGAAGAGTCAGAGTCCAATATATATGTAATTAAAGCCTATATTCTTTACCATATTATCTTTCCGCATGAACAAAGAGATGACCAGGAACTAAGTGAGATTTCGAAGTAGGCTTATTCCCTCTGTTTTCCAGAGTTTGTGTCAGTAATAACAATGATAACGATAGGGCGAATAGAGGAGTCCTATTGGAGAAAGCTCAGAAAGATTCACTGAGAAGGAAGGTATTTAAAGGTGGGACAGGGGCTTTCATGCTGAAATAGGAGATAAGGAAAGCTGATGCAGAGATCAAGTCAAACAAATGGACAACTCCTAAAACAGGGAGCCTTACTGCGGTGACCGCTCACAGATCTCCACTCCCCACGCTGTCAGGGAGCGGGCTTCTTGTGTAGTGATGCGAAAAGTCCGCTAGAGGATCGAGTGCTGCGAAGCCTAGGTGCCTGGGACAGCGTGTGTTCCCAGACTCACATATATCCCCCTCCTTCCAAACAAGGGAGAAAGCGCATTCCTTTCTTCTCTGCTCTAGCACATACTGTGGACAGACAGGGTGTGCAGAGAGGATACACAGGTGGAGCACCTCAGGAACCTGCCATTCAGCCAGTCTACTCCTGGAGCGCACATGCACGGTCCCCACACTCTGCACCAGTCTAAAGACAGCTCTTGTCTGGAGGGCCTGCTGAGTCGTAGGCAAGTGCACACACAGTGGCCTGAATTGCCTCACCTGAGTCCTGCATGCCTGCTGGACTGTGAATCACAGGCGCTATCCCAACCACAGCCACAGAACATGTTGACCCTACTCCTGCTGGGCGCTCCAGTGCATCACCCCAATCACAAGAGCACTGTAGGGAACACAGGAGTGGGGTCACCTGCAATCAGACCTCAAAGGGGATTGTGCAGTCTCATGCAGTTTGTGGCATGGTGGGATTGTGGTAGAGGAGCGCAGCTTCTGTCCTCCCTTGCAGAACCTCCACCAGGGCTCACCAGGGCTCAGGAGCCCTTCCCACCTATACCCCAAAGAGAAGCAGTGGCTCCAGACTGCAGCGAGCCCCTACAGACAGCCTGAGAAAGACTACAGACTTCAGAGACTGAGTACCCAGCTGCACACTGGTCACCACCATCTCCCAGGTTTTCTGGAAAAGTTGTTACATATGTGTGAATCACATATACATGCTCTTGTTAGTGTTTAAAATGAGTTCCCATCAGGTATCTCCTGAGATTTGCAGTGTGTGTGTGTGCGTGTGTGTGTGTGCATTGTTTGGTTTGGTTTGGTAATTGCTTGGTAATTTTTGTTTGTATCCTTCTGTTTAGTTGTTCTTAAGGATTTTTTTTATTTGATTTTTGTTTGTATTTTTTTCTATTTGTTTTGATGTAATTAGTATCTAATTTGCCCATCTAGTTTCTTCTACTCAATGTCCCACAGCAATTCTAGTTTTTCTTTTTCAGAAAGAAAATTAACAGTACATTACCTCATCCTCTTGTTTCTACTTTACCACATTCTGTGCTCTCTTTCTCTTTCACTGTCATTTCTATCTTCTGTATCAACCCACCCTCCTCTCCATATTATTTCTTGGACTCCTTTTGTCCTACCTAGTCCCCTCTCCTTCCCAATTTTTTCTTCTCCTCTCTTGCTACTTTTAAATTTTTTATTTTATTCTTGTTGGTGGCATTTGGAGTTCTATCACCAATTTTCTTCTTCCTCCTTGTATATTATTTTGTTTTATTCATTTGATTAGGGTTTATTCTCTCTCTCTCTCTCTCTCTCTCTCTCTCTCTCACACACACACACACACTTC